GTTCAGAACCAGGTGAGTCTGGGTCAGTTCAGAACCAGGTGAGTCTGGGTCAGTTCAGAACCAGGTGAGTCTGGGTCAGTTCAGAACCAGGTGAGTCTGAGGAGCTGATTTTCACACGCGAGTCTAAAAACTCACCTGGGTCCTGATTCCTGACACTGAGCACCTGACTGAGCCGGTCCGGTCCGGTCCGGTCCAGTTCGGTTCGGCTCACCTTCACGACCAGAAGAGATCCAGGAGAAAACCTGGTGTCTGAGCTACGGGGTCCCTGAGAGGACAACCAGAGCAGAACCAGACGGTCCTGTTGAGGAACAGCACCACCTGGTGCTGAGTGGCGTCACTGCACCCAGCTCAGCCAAAACATTATGACCACAGCTGAGGATGACGTCATGTTGCTGTTTGTCGGTTGGAGGCCAGGAGGGAAGAGATAAACTGTTTTATTCTGAAAGGTTCTTCTGGATKTTTCCCATACACAGTGGAAGCCATCAGAACTGATTTATTGTCAAACCATTTGGTGACTGCCAGCTCTGGCCTCCTCCGGACAACCGTCACAGATGCTCCTCTCCCTTCTTTTCGTAACTGCTTGTCTCCTGGTAGCTGACATGCCTTTGGTACTCGGTTCTTCATTATTGTTCCAGTTGCTGGAAGACCCTTTGCAAGCAAAGCATCCATGAGATCGATAGTTGTGAAATATCGATCAAAGAATACACAAGTTCCTGTAGGAACAGATTCAACCAGTCGCAAAACTGCTGAAGCTCCAACTCCCAACCGTGGGCCCCTGAATGTATTTTRCCCTTGGTACACCTCAAAATCCAACACCAAGCCATTTGGAGAGGCAAGGACAAAGACTTTTAGGCCAGTAGGATTTGGCTTGCCAGGGACATATTGCCTGACTGGACAGCGRCCTGTGAAAGGGATGATTTGCTCATCAATGCAGACCTTGTTATACCTTGGAAGGCTGAGACAGCCTTGCTTCACACGGTCAAGCAATGGTCTGGCTCTCCAAAGAATGTCTGACTCCTTTGTTTCTTCTCCTACATTCAGATCATCAACAATCTTGAGTGAGCTTCTCAGCTTGTAGAACCTYTCCCTTGTCATTTTCTTGCTAATAACTGGCACTTCAGTTTTTTTGGCCCAAAACATTTTCACTCTGGGATAGCCAAGGCAGGCCATGTGTACTGATATACCAAAGAAAATCTTGATTTCTTGGGCAGTAGTATTTAGTGACACTCCTGTAGTTTGCAGCTGTCTTTGGTTTGTAAAAGCTGCCAAATCTTCAAAGATTTTGTCATCAATGTACTGCGAAAAGTATTGTATTGGACTCCAGTGTTCTCGGATTTTAGGGTCATCTTGATAGACAGGAAGCCCAGGTAGCACAGGTGTGTATCTATTTAGATGGTTGAAAAA